CATATTCTGATTCTGAAAACAGTCTAAATACATGGGGAATGTATTGATTTAAGTCTTCTGTGTTCAATTCATGTTGCTTTATAACATATTGTACATATAATGTATACAGTAAGTTTACCAGGGTGTGAATAAAGAGGAAAAAATTAAAAAAGAAGAGGAACATTTACTGAGCAGTTATAAAGAGAAGACTGTACTTCAGACCTTTACGATTTGTAAACCTAATTTGATGCAGTGTATGAAATTTTATCCATTTTGTTATTAATTAGATATGTGAAAATGACATTTCTGTTACTTTTGTGATACTACTTTTTATTTAGTAGCATATTGTCTGAATCAACACTCATGTGGGGGAGAAAAAGTAAAAGCATGTTAGCATTTTTAAAAAGATGACTTGACAAAATGTAACTACCTTTAAGCTATTTCTGCTACAAGAAGAACATATAAATCTGTAGTGCTATTATTTCTTCTCAGATAGGGATTAATCACTACTCCTGTGACAGTATAGCCTCTGCAAAAATGCAATAGTAACTTACCCTGATGATTTATTTGACTTCTATCTTGCAAGACATAAAAAATGTTTTATTTTCAAAGTAATTTCCAAATAGTATGTTACTTGCCTATCTAAGTATACAAACTTTAAAGTACTGTAGTCTAAACCCTACTTAAGAAAAAAAAACAAATTAAGTAATTTTTTTTTCCAATTAAAGATTATTATAGTGCAAAGAGGAATGAATGAAACTTGTGTGTACAACATGTTCACTCTTTTTCTCATTTAATGCAAAATAATTCATAAACACATTATACAAAATGTAATCTTTCTTCATGCTAACACCTCTCATTAGGGCAATCCAGTGGAGACCACTTATCTAGTAGTCAGCCCTTGATAAGTAACTGCTGTAATCAGTACATTTCCTCATAAAATAGAGTATATTGAAAAAAATTTGTGTTAGGCACATTTAACTGCACCTGGAGCATATGGAAATTTCTGTACTGTATCAGAGATATGGTTCTTGCCAATGCTTTACCTACAGGTAATGTAATATACTGTATATGCATTCAGTATTATTTTTTTTTTTCCCTGTTCTTTTTCTGCAGAGGAAGTTCTCTACAACTGGAAGACACATAGGCAAAAAAGCAGGTTTAGACATAGAAAAAGAGTATTAATAACACACTGCAACACATTTCTAATGTATATTTAAAATGAAGGCATACATATGCTTTGTAATATTTAAAGATGTAACTGTGCAAAAATTCTAAGTGAGTTATATGTAAAACTGATGTGGCTAAACTTGCAAATCCATTATTCAGCACAGCTGATTTATGTGGACTGATTGATCTGTTTAAATATTTGTTTTGTATACTTTTTAAATCCAAATGCTCTTTTTATAAATGCATGTTCTTTGCTTTTTCCACATTTCTACATTTCATGTTATGTCTTAGCATTGCAACAAATCACTTTATGCTTGGCCCCCATAATCTCTATCAGCCATGGGGAAAAACACCATCTGCATCCTCTGAAGTTACACTCTAGGTACCCTCATCTGCAGAACACTTTATTGAATAATCTTTTTCTGCAGTCAAAGGATGTATTCAGCTAAATTTTATAGTAAAATATTCATATATTTTTACTGTTCACCTCATTACATATAGACTGTAAATGGGGAGGATAATTCTGATATAGAAAAGAATCTAAGTTGCTTTTTGTGATTTCCCAGGTGATATCCAACAGTGATTCTGCATCCATTTGTTATTTCTTTCTTTGCAAGGTTGTTAGGGAAATCTACATTTCTAGGCCAGAGTCACTGGTACTTTGTACTTCTCACTATGAGCAACATATGAATTTCAATTTGGTTTAGAGAAAACTGCTAATGAACTCAACTGAAGTGAAGCTAATCTGCCGAAAGAACTGGAATGCTTACTTTGTATTTAGAATTTTCCTTTGCTGGTTTTATTCTACGGATTTTCAGATAAAAGTGAAATCTACAGCAGCTTTGAATATATATTTAAAATGACACAAGGGAATAAAGTGTTCTTTGAAGGTTTAGGAGAAATATGTTTCTTGTATTCTTCACATTACACTTAAACAGAGCTTTAAAGAAGTGATGGGCTTGGAAAACATGGACTTTACTGATTAAAGCTAATGCCCCAAATCTGTATCCTAATTAAAATTAAAAATACTTTCAATTTGCATCTATATGTTGGTAGTTTTAATTGTTTGTTTTGCTGTTAGTAGAAGTTGTACAACCTGTTAAAAGTATTTTTGGTAGACTTACTGCAAAGGTAGACCTGGTAATAATTAAAGGGTAACTGAAAAAGTTTAGGATATATGTATTATTTTTTTTTTTACAAATAAAATTTTAATAGATGGTACAGAAGAATCCTAGATCACTATGGGCTTTTAAGTAAAGAGCATTTTTCACTGACTGAAGCTTCAAACAGAGCCATCTGAAGAAAGGAGGTGAGGGGAATGTATTACTGCCAGTAATTACCCTGTATTATTTTCAGCTTTAGTGTTTGAGTTCTGTAAATAAAAAAATCAGCAGAACCTGGACAAGGTGAAAAGGTGCCGAAAGTTCTGGCTGCATATGGAAATGCAACATATTAATAAGCAGTGATGGGCCCTGCATTTCAAACCTAGGCCTTCAGTGATGTCCTACCTAAGTTAATCCAGTAATTTCTAGCTGTAACCTTAGAAATTGAGCACAAAAAAAATGGGAACGCAGAAAAAGCAGAGCCTGAATTAGCCCCAAAAAATTAAAGTACATTATACTCACCAAAACTAATGATTATCTGTACATAAAACCCATCCTCCTGTTGTACAGGTTATCTATGTGTTTTAGTTCCAACAATACATTTTTTTTCATCACCAAGGAGGCTAATGCTAACAGTCAAGTCTAACCAATTGTATACTTAACATTTAAAGGATATCCACTTTTGTTACACCCATATTCAAGGTGTAACATTATTATTATTATTATACAAGATTTATATAGCGCCAACAGTTTGCTCAGCGCTTTACAATATAACGGGAGACAATACAGCAACAATACAGTTCAATACAAGGGGGTTAGGAGAGCCCTGCTCCTTGGAGCTTACATGTTACAGATACACCAGCCTACATGCCCCCCCGATCCCCTATATTGACAGCGAGAGGGGAATCTTCTCCCCCCCGCTTTGTCACACTTTTAAAATTGTGTGTGACTGCCTGTCCAGCCGTGTCATTCATTCAACCTTTACGGCTGTCAGCTTGTAGTTCTCAGTAAACTACCACGGCACTGTTGAGCTCTCTAGTAGTTCATTGAGTCTTCCTATCAGAGTGCAACTGCCTGCCCATATGTTGTATGAGCAGATACACTGACAAGTCTGCAAGAACTCTACATTACACCCAGGATCTGCTGATCCTGGGTGCAATGCATTTCAAGCTCATATTAAAAAAACAAAACAAAAGTAAATTCACATTTTTTTTACCTGCAAAAAGTTATTATTTTTTATCAAAGGAGAACTTATTCTTTAATATATTTTTCCATGAATGTGTAATAAAATATGCACAATAGTCTTTTCACTTCATTTCATAGCTTTCCTCTTGATTGCATTGCTTCCAGTAGTGTATGTTTTATGTTAGAGCTGTTATCCAATCATATTTCAGCTATGGTAGCCATATATGTTGCCAGGGTCAAAGAAATTTGCCTTGTGACTTTCTGGCATAAGTTATTGTATACTTTCAAGATGGCCCTAGTGTCGCCAACTCTAAATCAGATTGGTTAAAACATTATTTCATTGCCTTTTTACTGTAAGCTACAGGAGACAATACTGGGAAAGTTTCAAGGCAGATTTCTTTGACCCTCGCAACACATTATGGCTATCATGGCTGAAATATGATTGGATAAAAGTTCTAATATAAATCATACACTACTGAAAGCTTTGCAATCAAGAGAAAAAATATGAAATGAAGAGAATTATTTAATACACGCTCATGGAAAAAGTATGTTAAACCATAGGTCAGTGATTCTGATAGATTAGACAGTGTTTAGGCCAGCAGAGAAGGCCTTGCTATCCGTGATGGCTGGCCCACCACTGGTAATAGACAATATCTCAGTTGTGTTTTTCATACTATTTCAGTATTTTTTTTTTAATTCTCTAAACTAATCAATAAATATGCTAATAGAGTCATCGTCTATAAATGCATAAATTGTCTTTAGTTGCTGTGTATTTGCATAACGATAGAATTAATCAATATAGTCGTATTTTGGTTGCAGATTCATGTTTGAAAGAAAATTTTAATATGTAGCATAATGAAGAAAGAGTATTCCCATGTAGCATAATTTGGCGTTGTAAGAGAGGGATGAAACATGCAGTGTCAGTGATTAAATCTCCTTACATGGTTCTAGCAAGTACTAACAAAAATGTTCTGATGATAATTTAAATCAGTGTACTTTACTAGCATGATGACAGCAGTTACAAGTATAAAGCAGTGATAGATACAGTTGACTTGAGCTCAGGGAGCCTCACAATTTGCTGTCTATTTACAGATTCCTAGGAAAAATATTCAGAAGACCCAAATTTCTGGGTACTTATTCAAGGCTCTGATATGAGTTTGTTGAACCTCAGATGAAACTTTCCATCTATACTTAACCGCCTCCCACCCACCATATAAGGAAATGACAGATGGGTGTCAGTTCACTCGTTCTGGGAGGACGTCAAATGACGTCCTCCCATTCTAGCTGCGCATGTACGCTCCCAGGACGCGCGGTGATCAGTAGTGCCCTGTGTCCCTGGGATACAGTGGATCATCGGTCACAATAAAGAGCCGAAGAGTCATGATCATCATGATTGCATGTAAATAGGAAATATCGGTTATCGGCAGTCCTCTCCTCATGTTGACAGTGCATGAGGAGAGCCGGTAATTGGCATTCCTCAGAGGGGACATGTACACTGATCATCAGGGCGCTGATCATCAGTGTCCTGATGACCAGTGTAGCTCCATCGGTGCCACCTGTCAGTGCCCATAATTGCCATCTGTCAGTGCCCATCAGTGCCACATACCAGTGCCCATCAGTGCACATCAATGCTACATATCAGTGAACATCAATGCCACGTATCAGTGTCCATCAGAGCTGCCTTTCAGTGCTGCCTATCAGTGCCAGTCAGTGCCGTCTATCAGTGCCAGTCAGTGCCGTATGTCAGTGCCGCTTATCAGTGCCCACCAGTGCTAGTCAGGGCCACCTATCAGTGTTTGTCAGTGCCACCTATCAGTGCCCATCAGTGATACCTAACAGTTCCAATCAGTGCTGCCTATCAGTGCCCATCAATGCTGCCTATCAGTGACATATAAGTGCTGCCTTTCAGTGCCCATCAGTGATGCCTGTCAATGCCCATCAGTGCTGCCTGTCAGTGCCCATCAGTGCAACTTATCAGTGCCCATCAGTGCAGCCTCATTAGCGCGCATCAGTGAAGGAGAAAAATTACTTTTTTACTAAATTTTATAACATAAACTAAAACTAAACTAAACATAAACTTTTTCAAAATTTTCAGTCCTTTTTTTAGTTTGTTTAGCAAAACATTAAAAAAAAACAGTGGTGATTAAATGCCACCAAAAGAAAGCTCTACCTGTCTCAAAAAATGATAAAAATTTAGTTTGGGTACAGTGTTGCATGACCGCACAATTGTCATTCAAAGTGCGACAGTGCTGAAAGCTGAAAATTGGCCTGGGCAGGAATGTAAAAGTGCCTGGTAGGCAAGTGGTTAAAGTGTATCTGGAGTTCAAAAAGTTTTATCTTGCTTTTGTGATAGTAAAGAAAGGGTTTAACTTCTGTCAGGATTTCATAGCTGTTTGTTTCCCTGCTGGGGAGACCCACCCTCAATGTTTATCATGGTGACCATTATGACTCAGAAAAAAAGGTGATGGAATGCCCAAAATGTTACGTTTGTCACTGGAGCTTGAAGAGAGGGAAAATCTTTAAACATGGACATCTAAGCTGGTAACAACTGTCTAAAAGATTATTTCCTCTTACTTTTAGAGATTTCCTCTTTCTACCTTATTTCCTGTTATGGCTCTGGAATGGAAACTGAAGGGAAATTTTCCCAATAGGACACAGGGAAAAACTGTCTGGGGTTGTGGTGATATTGGGGGTTAGTAGCAGGATGCAGTGCAAAGAAAAGCACTGCTTTAGGTTACATAAGGAGCTGGTTGCCCCTTTTCTAGTAAATAATACTTGCATTTATATAATAGCTATAATAGTTTTCAGTTTAGTTTTTACTTTAATTATAATTAACAATTATTAAATTGTTGACTATGCATGTCCAATGAAAATAAAGGTTTTCATATTTATAGTACAAAACTTATATTCTTGCAAAGAAAAGTTGCCCTCAGTAGGCTATTTCTGTAGTTCAGTATCTGCTAGTCCAGTTCTAGTACAGATGTTTGTTTTGTTTTTTTTTGGGGGGGGGTGCAAAATATGGGGGCCTCTGGTAAGTTTCCATTGCTGTATGAGTTTCCAACTTGAAGAAAGTATGCTGATAAGGAGTTCTGACATTATTGATATGCATACTTGACTCAACACAATCGAACCAATAGTTCAGTATAATAACCATTTTTTAGAAGTTTGGAAATGATAACACCAAATATTTTTTCTTAGAAAAGGTTTACAGTAAGAGAAATCTAAGCATTCCACTGTTAAATGTAGTTGAAAAATTCATTATTATATTCATTATTATATAAACAAGTGTTATATTATTTATTATTATTATACAAGATTTATGTAGCGCCAACAGTTTGAGCAACACTTTACAACATGAAACATATTGCTTTTATATAAATAGCTTGTACGGCCACATTTTTAAATACATAAGAACTTGGGCACCATATGTTAAGAAGGTTGTAGGAAATTTGAGTACAAAAGCAGACAAGCAAACTATTAGGTTGGTAGGTTTTCCATATAATAATGGGTTAGAAAAAAATAAGCTAAAGTATTTTGTTTAAAAAAAAAACTACAGCATATCTATTTAGGAAATATAAATATATCCAAGATCAAAATCAAAATTGTGGCAGACAAACTTTATTTTGGCTGTATGGAGGACAAGGAAACCTCTAAGAGAAGATTAATTGAGCTGTGGAATGCCCTATCACTAAGGTTGGATTCACACAGTCCTGTGTGCATCGATGTGTGCATGATAAGGTAAATGTGTAGATGTGAATAGGTTCATACAGTTTCTCTTCCCCTTTTATATTAAACAGCAGCGTATAGATGTGAACCATCCACATAAAAAAGAATGGAATTTCTGTCTAAATTGCATGTTCAGGCAGAAAAGGTCTTGAGGTTTGCTGCAGAAAAAGGTGTAAATGGGCCCTAAAGATTGCAATGGAATTTAAAATATGGGTGGAGTTCATTAAAAATGAATGGCAATGTATTTGTATATTTACTAAGAATAGCAATGTATGTTTTATTCAGGGACTTAACCTCTTCACGCCTCACAGAACAAAAATACCTAGATCAAGGTCCAATCTAGTTCAGTGCCAGAGTTAGTGTTTGGGTCAAGGTCAGGGTCAAAGGTCAGGATTTTTTTGTTTAATTGGCATCAGTGTCAGTTAGTGTCAGTATCAGTATGTTTTAGGTAAAAAAATAAAAACAAAATGCACACTATTGTATCTGGGCTGTAGTACAGGTACAAATAACATACACATATATGGTATCACTGCGATCATCAAGAGATGAAAATTTTATTTTGGGTTGTTCTTTGGTGGTAGGTTATGGTAGTAACAAGAAACACACAGCTAAATAAAAAAAATATATTTTTTTACTATTTTGGGCCCGTTTTCCTTTGATAATAAAAAAAAATCTGGAGATATCCATTACCATTTACCACCAAATGAAAGCCCAATTTGTCCTGAAAAAAAACGTGGTATAATTCACATGAATGTACAAAGTAGTTGTGATGACATGTACAGTTTTACTAACACATGTCAAAGTTGTAAAATTGTACTTGGCCTTTAAGATTTGTTTTACCTTTAGGCGTGAAGGGGTTAATCAGATGATTTTGCAGTGTCAGGAAGTATTTTTCTATTTTCCCCAGAGAATTAAAATTGGCCACAGTTTCCCAAAAAAGTTTTGTTTTGCCTCCCTTTGACCAAAATTGCTGTATTTTCTGGAATCATGAATTTGGGGGGCATTTATCATTTTTCAACTCTTTTTTGAAGAGTTTTTTTTTTTGTACAAAAATGATTTAAAACTATTTATCTAATTATAGTTTATATTTGCTCATTGCATATGTTGACTGTGCTTTTTTTCTTAGTAGTTCAGCACAATGATTGTACTTTAATAGATTATACTAATTAGTAGAAGGTATGTAATAATATATATTTTGTGAAAGTGATACCTATAATTTGGCTAAAAAGCTTCAATACAGAAGCTTCTGGAATGTGTTTGCTTGTAGTGATCTGTGTGTACCTTGTGCTAAAGTGCCATTCAAATGATATATATCAGTAGTGTAATGTTCTGCAGAATCTGAAAAATATGCTGTCTGTGCCATGGGTAAAGGATTCAGTAGCCACCGGAACCCTGCTAACAGCAGACTGTGTTGTTTAAAAGTGCAAACATTTTGGGCTATAGCACTGAAAGCACAGTGCACTGCTGTGTACATTTTGAACCAGCAGTATGGAGGAATTGAAGACATTACTCCAAGCTAATGCTGTGCAACAACAGGCTTATCATCAGAACCAGGCACAGCTGCAAACAATCCTGGAATAATAGCAGGATACCAAAAGACTGGCTTCCCAGCAGCAACAGACTCCTGCAGATCAGCAACAGACTAATGTAGCTCAGCAAGAAACAATTAGACAATTGACTGCCCAGTTGGTGACCATTGAGACTCAGATGACTGCTTTGGCTCAGGCAGCCAAGAGAGACCAACAGGCCTTATCAGAAGTGATTCAACACAATTTCAGTGAAAGCTCAGCATGTAAATAGGTAGCACTACAAGACAGAGGGGTCTCCCCACTCTGAAAAGTACAGTATATTCTGTTTAACCTAGTCATACATTGGGTGCAGCCTGAAGTGCTTAGAGGGCCCTTAAATCATAGAGAAGATCACCATGGATTGATTGCTGTGGGTTTGACTTCCAAAGCTGCAGAGGCGGGTGAGCCAAGCTGGTCCAAAATTGGCTGATCAACTGGCAAGCTGGTGGGACACCTAGACTTCTTGGCTGAATCTACAGTTTTGATATTCCCAACAAATAAAAGGCCACCTCCCTTAACAACCAAACCAAATTCAGCCCCACAGTCAGTAAGGACGCTCATTGCATGAAATGCATTGAGGCTGGGCCACACACATCATTTCTGGTCCCTCCACCACGTAATTTCCGGTTGCTGGAACGCAAGCCGGCTGCAATACTAGTGGCAGTGTGGGGGAAAGGTCTCACCTGTGGGCTGTATGTGTTGGTGCCCCCCCCGGCACTCAGTTCATGTGAGTGCCTTTTTATTTTACATTTTTAAATAAATATACTACACTATATATATTCCCTTTCTGGCTTCTCTCTAAGGGTGCTTATAATTGGAAGAGACTTAGTAGTGATTGCTTGAGAGAATATTCTTCTGGAATTCTGCATAAAAAGTGAACATCGAATTGGGGCCACTGTGGTGGCTGAGGGGATTTGGTGAGTGCACAATTCAGTTGAACACATTGGTGGACACTGCCGGTATACGAAGAAGAACTGATAATTTCTGATCTTATGCACTAGATTTTGGTGTTTGGGGAATTTTCTATCAATTAATATTTGGACTTTATTTCATTATTTATTTTTTGTTTGTTACCTTTTATTTTATTTTATTTTAGAGTAATGTTGGTCATGGTAAAGGTGAGCACCCACTGTTATTGCGTTGTTTTAGTACAATAAAAGGAAGAAAGAAAATTAAAATGTGTTGCTTTTAATCTTAAATTAATAAAATAATTTCTAACACACAGCATTGCTGTTTCTGGCTTATTCAGCTTATTCTGGTCTGGTAACACTGGGGCTGTTCTAATGGTGATCAAGAACAGAGTTGCTGGCATTCACTGGCCTGGTGGCACTGGGACTGGTAAGGTGGCAATCAAGAGCAATGTTTCTGGTTTACACTGGTCTGGAGACACTATACTGGTGTGGTGGCAGTCAGGAACACTGTTGCTGGCTGCACTGGTCTGGTGACACTGTACTGTCACGGCAGTGATTAGGGACGCTATTGCTGGAGCCACTAGTCTGATGACACTATACTGGTGTGGCAGTGAATAGAAACATTGCTGCAGTTGTAATCAGGGAATGGCTGGGACTGGTATCAAGCTAGAACATGGCCAGTGCAGATGGGTCATTTCAGATGGCAGACAGAGCTCTGGTGATATTGTACTGTGCCAATACCCATTCGAAACACTCTGTTTCCTCTCGCAGTCAATTGGTGAATGGTCACATACCCA